CAAAATCTCAGCATATTTTCCAACCTTTTTTTACAAGTGTTTTACGTTTCCTTCCTATTTGCTTGTTATATTCAACACACCGTAGCCCCTGCTATTAACCACTACTTATTATCAGTTTTTTGACTGTGAGTAGTAATACCAATTCCTGTTTACATTGTATCTGGCATATATATTTATCTAAAGGCTTATGTATTGGATAATAAAATAAGCTTCTTAGTAAAAATGTTGATTCGCAGGTTCTTGAATCTAGCTAACTCACAGATCGAACCCTCTGAAACAGCCCGGCACTGCGCTGATCAAAGTCATAAACAGGACTAACTCACCGATCGAACAACTTGTCGCGCAACATTTACTTTAGTATTCAGTCCACGCGCTGCCAACTCACTCACGGCTATCTTTTTTTCTTCTTTTCTTGCTTTTATCATTTTTTATCAACTACAAAAGTTTTATCTTGTMTGTTTCAGTAGGTTTAGAAAATTTTTTGCAGTTGCTGTACTCTTTAAACTTACTTCTTCTATAGTCGGCGCCGTTTTGTTTGCGCGTCAAATCGGCGATGGACATGTTACACACATCGATTTGCTGAAAATTCGTCATATTGTGTTGCAAGTTTTTGAAGCCAGATCAAAAACCTGCAACCGGCCTGTTGCAGAGTGAAATACTGCGCGAAAAATCGTCCTCGGCGCTATGTTACACGAAAAAGATTTTTCGTGCAAGTTCAGTGTTGCGCAAAAAATCGGCGTTGCAAGTTGGTCCGTGTAACACCACCTTAAAGGCGCGATTACACCAGGCAATTTTCTCTGCAACTTGTCTTGCAACTGGAGGAATTGTTCTTATTGATAAGCATCACTAGTTACCGATGCACGACATTCAAGACTTGATGTATTTGCTAGTGACGGTACGTGATGGGTAGCACAATGCAGAAAATAACGTTTTCGCAATCTTTCGACTCAACTTCCTATAATTTGCGTCACCTACATAATTTTTTTGTATCTTATTCCCCAACTCATGTAACTATAAGAAACAAAACGCAAAATCTTAAAAAATCGCATGATTTGGAAAGGAAAATGCGAAATTTGATTATCGCCATCAACAGACTTGATTGAGAAATGAAGAACAGTGCTAATCGTTGTGTTATATCACTATTTACAGGATAAGAAATCGCTTTACGGTAAACCGATTATTTTAAAGCGAGCTTAACAATTGGAATCATCTTAACGTGAGTGGTTTTTTAATCCACATAATGAGCGAAATGAAGAACATTTAAGACAAAACGGATACAATTGTGGAGCAAAGTCAACTAACTACGCTCAGTCTGAAAATTATTCATTAGTGGCGGGTTTCACTTAGCGCACAGACCAAACGTGCCCTAATTATGCATATTTTAATCAAACCACAGAAACATATGGGGCTAATGATAAGAAATACTTCTTTATAGATATATACCTTAAATTGCTTTATATAGACCTGTGAATGCGTGTTAATGCTTTTAGAAATGGGACAAAAAAATTTTAAGATGAACCTTGAGGGATGTAGAATTAACAAAATTAATGGCATTCCAAACAAACCATTAGATGTTGGTTTGACTTATRATTACTAGTTAGAGATAGATAGAGAGATAAAACATTAGCAGGTATGACGAGTTTTTCAAAAGTCATTCAACAGTGTTAAAGGTGGCTATCTTTTGGAGCAAAGCGACTAGTCAGAGCCACAGACCTCAAAGACCTTGCAAGTGTTAGGTAAGCTCGTGTTGGCCATTTTTTACAAGTGATTTAACTTTCTTATTTTTCCCCTTGMGTTTTTACCAAAGGTTTCCTGAGACAAATGAATGATAAATCCCGTTATCGATCAACCCGAATTAGTAATTTTGTTTCAGAAGCGATAATTTTCTTTATCAAAAACTTTCTGCTGCGTTCTCTTACTCTTTATGCCCGACCTACTTTTTAGTCTTCAGTWGAAAAACACAAACCGTTTGGAATAGAAAGCGAGTCAATGGATCTTAAGAATACAGTTGGTATAGCCATTATCTGTCTTCTGGGATGCACACTTCTACAGATAACAGGTAATGATCTATGGTCTTTTTATGTTTTCCGAAATTTMAAACAAGACGTCGAGGCGACAAATTTCTTATCCAAAATATGTGCTTGCACGAAAAAATCGTCATTTAATGATGACGGCTTTTTAATCTAATCCATATTGTATAGCATAGTCATATATTTGAATCGCCGGAGTTTGAGATTCGAAAAATAAACTTTGTGTTAAAAGTAATCAAAGAAAAGAAGTTGTTGCCAGGAAATCACACMTGGAAATGGTTAGACAGGCATCCTGGAATGATAAGGGCATCGCCATAGCTGTGCATTTGAATRAGGACAGGGGTTCAGATTGGGATTTTCCAACAAAGCAAAAATATGGGTTAAGGTTAAAGACATCAAAGRAGGGAATGTTTTAGGAAATTACACGTGGGAATGCTTAGTCAGCCATCCTGGAATGATAAGGACACTAGTGGGTGTGTATTTGAGTGACCGAAGTCGAAGGTTTAGGATTTCCCAAAGGAACAAAAGTATGGGTTAAAATAATCAAAGAAAATAAGTTATGGCCAGGAAATCACACCTGGGAATGGTTAGACAGCCATTCTGGAATGATGATAAGGAAACTAGGCTTTCCCAAAGGAACAAATTAAGTATGGGTAAATAAGTTATGGCCAGGAAATCACACCTGGAAATGGTTAGACATCCATCCTGGAATGATGATAAGGACACTAGGTTTTCCCAAAGGAAAAATTAAGTATGTGTTAAAGTAGTCAAAGAAAATAATTTGCAGCCAGAAAATCACACCTGGAAATGGTTAGRCASCCATCCTGRAATGATAAGGRCACTAGCAGTTATGTATTTGRRTRAAGTCGAAGGTTTTGGATCTCCCAACAGAAAAAAGGTAAAAAAGGTAAACAAAGAAAAGAAAGTCAGCTATGAAATCCAATCGGGAAATGGTGAGACARGCATCCTGGAATGATAAGRGGTATCGCCAATAGCTGTCTACTTGAATATGGTTGGGGGTTCAAGATTTTCCACCAAAACAAAACTAATATACGTTAGAATAGTAATTTTAAAAAATTCAAAGAAATTTTTTCMAGGTAATTAAACATAGAAATGGTTGGCCAGGCATCTTGGAATGATAATAACGCCATAGAGTYTGAACATTCAAAGGAAAGGGATAGATTTAGAGAGTTAGATTTGGAGATAGATCGAACGCAGGGGCGGGTTTAGGGCTGGTTCACATTTCAACATGAGCATAAAAAAAGCATAAGAAAGCTAGTACTATTGTAATTCTTATGCTTATGATTATGTACGCCGGGTTCACACTTTGGATTTCACAAGCATAAGCAAATGGAAAAGTTTCCATTCCTTATGCTTATGCCGGCTTATGCTTTGTGCAAGCCCGGTTGCGTTTATTATGCTTATATTTATGTTTATGCTCATGCTTAAAGTGCGAAACCTCTAATCAGATAACAGCAAAAATAAAGCCATAAATTGCGCCTAAAAACTGGATGCGCCCGTCCGTTTCCTACATCTGCTTCCTTTCTTGAAAGCCAGTTTGTTTAACGCTAATTCGTTTAGTTATTTTTATTTTTTATTTTTTATTATTTTTATTTTATTTCATTTATTTTTTGTTATTTTTTTCTTGCTATTTTCTCATTGGTTTGTTTTCTCCCTACACCACTATATAAACCCCTCCATCATTCTCTTTCAATCATTGACTCCGACGAAGGACTAACGTCCGAAACGTCAGTCTACTATCTTTCCGTCGTACCTACGGTGATAAAATTATCTACTACGACACAATTAGTTATTTTCATTTTACTTTGCAGTGAATGGTAAAGAAATCGTACGACCAGCAAAGAAGAAYGTGGAGGATCACGAGTTAAAGCTATTACGTTACATAACGAAGAGGCACAAACTAGTTCGTGAGATTGTCCCTGCTGGTGCAAACCACAACTCTCCTCTAGCCATCATCTTCGACATTGCCTACAGCCAACTTGTTGACTTGGTA